GGTAAAAGTAAACAAGACAACACCCAAGGACACGGAAACAGTCTCATAGTATTTCAGCAGCATTAAAATCTTTATAGACTTAGACAACATTAATTGTCATTTTGTACACACAGAGTGTATACAAAACAAAATTATGTTTTGTAGAGCTCTTATGACATTTTCTTTTCTTTTTAAGTGCAGCAGTGATCAAATGACATCCATACACAAGTACCAACTTAGGTTGAATAACAAATCAAACGGGATTTTGGTTTTAAACTGATCTCAATGATTGCCTGCCTAATAAAATTGTTATACAGAAATATTTTAAATACAATATATCGCACACATCTATCAACCATCGACAACAGAATCAGCCCTTCAATTATCTTTTTTCAAAAGCGATGTATTTTGTTTTTCATAAAAACCCCAATGCTGTTTTTAATGTTACACACAAACTCATTCTAGCTGCACCTTATTTCCCAGTGCCGCCTTGCTGCAGCGATTTATCTACTTAAACTTCAGAGAGAAAGAACCGAGTAAATAAAGAAAAGCTGGTCAATAACCACCTCTAGATGATTTATTGGTAAATCATTTGAAAGTCTTTGTCCTTGGGGCACATTCATTTAATCTCTATTCATTAACTAAGTTTTAATGCATTCATGTTTGATAGTTTCTAAACCTTGTTTTAATCAGAACCTTTCATTTACAACTATTAATGTGCAAGACATGTTTCTCCCTTGTTGAGTAAGGCAAATGTTCAAAAAACACTCACAAGATCAAGGTATTTATCTGACTAATCATTAGAGCGTCCTAAATACCTAATCAGTGCTGCTAATCAGCACCATCATCCTAGGGAAGTAGAGATATATTAATACAAACAAGCACAAGGTAGGTATCATACACTGAGTCACAGCAAACTTTAAAAATAAAATTCAGACTATTGTTTATTTGCCACTATGATTTCCTATTAAAATCAAAACTTCTCTTTTTAAACTATGAGCTTCTACCAAGCTTTTGAATTAAACTGATTCTTATTTATACCAATACTGCAAAGACCTTCAACTCTAATGCGCAGCGCTTGATCTTTTAGCACCCTACAAAGGCTGGCTGTTAAAAGAATCACAGTCAGGATTCTGGCAATGGTGGTAAAATTGATCAAAAACAAAAGCAGTGAGGTGCCAACAAGATCAAATTCCTTGAAAGCCACACTGTAGACTTAAAATGGTTAATAAAATTTGAAATAACCCACATAAATGGGAATCTTCTTACCACCATCTCCTTATCTCATCTCCTTATTATTCTATGTGTAAATATGTAAATAATCCAGACGTGTAAAATTAACAATAGCAAAAGTATCCAAACATGACTTTAGTATTATATCGATACTCTGCCAAATTAGTACTGGATCCAGATATCAATACTTACGGTTTACTGTGGATTAGCCAGTCAAACAGGTAAACGCACATCAATCTAGCATGCTTCAGACTTCAGTGTCATGTCTGATCAAATCTATCACACGTAAGCATTTCAAATTCAAAAAGCTTAAGAAAGTCTTTCAAACAATCCTCCTTTTCAAAACTTATCTATGACCAGAATGACAG